TCCTGGTCCCACAAAACTCTTTAAAACGTAAGTAAGGACAATAAAGGAAATTTGAAATGTACCATGTGAAGAGCACATTTTTCATTTCATAAAATATGTCATGTTGCAGGGAAAGCAGCTGTTCCGGTTTCTGAGGCTCACGATGATGATGATGGTGATTGGGAAGGTAAAAGAATTTGCTCTGCCCCAGATGAAACTCCGCACTCCAGCCGCCGTAAGTACTCAATATTTCTTGCAAAATGGAGAATCAGAAAGGGAATCTCCCTTTTCATAATTCTTGGAAAAATTGCAGGATCACCAATTTCAACTGGAGCCCGCCAAAGGGAAGCACCTCCAGAAAGAATGACCATGCAGAAAATTGCTTGGCTAAAGGGACTCAATCCAAAGGCGGTTTCTCCTGAAACAAAACTGGCGTTAAAAACTGCACAAGAGTACCAGCAAAAGGCAAGGATATACAAGTACATGCTGACGCTATCTCGAAGAAAAAATGGGACCCTAAGAAGATTTGCAAAGAAGAAAACCATTCTTGAAATTGAACAAATGCTGATATCTCCTGGAGCTAAACAAATCCTTGAAGCTGAGCTTCGAAATTTCAAAAAGAAGCCCAAAGGAAGAAGATGGACACACAAGGACAAGACATTTGCTGCATCAATTTTTAAACGAAGTCCTAGAACATACAGATGGCTTGCCAGATATTTAACATTGCCTTCTGAGAGTACCCTAAGAATATTTATTGCAAAGGGTGTTCCATACGAGTGCGGAGTCTCTGAAGCGTCCTTGAGGCATATTGAAAGACTTTGTAAAAAATTGAGCCGCAAGGATCGCTGCTGCAGCGTAGCCTTTGATGAAGTGGCCCTTGAGGCAGGAGTCTATTTTTGTAGAGTCACCAAAAAATTATGTGGGCTGGAAGACTATGGAAGCCATGGGAAGACAACAGGACTTGCGGACAAGGCTCTTGTTTTTATGGCCCAAGGGCTTCACAAAAAGTGGAAGCTTCCAGTCGCATACTATTTAGTAAAAGGTCAGACACCGACAAACGTTCTGGCTAGGCTTGTTAAGGATGTTGTTGCGGCCCTTATGAAAATTGGACTTAAAGTTCTGGCTACAGTGTCTGACATGGGATCTAATAACAGAGCTGCTGTAAACAAATTAAGGTCAAACTGTGAGGAGGGAGAGTACGAACCTGCTTACAAAGTTGATGGTCAACTGATTGTTCATGTGTGGGATGTTCCCCACATAGCAAAAAATGTCAGAAACAATTTCATGAGGAGCAATGTTATTTTCAGCTCCATGCATGAAGCAGCCAAATATGATCATCTGATAGCATACAAGAAATACGATGAAAATGACCTCTGCCGAACTTCTGGGCTGACGAATGAAGTATTGTTTCCCAAGGGCAGGGGAAAGATGAAAGTGACCACAGCTGTCAAACTCATGAGTTCCACAACGGCATCAGGAATGGCCTCGGTCATTTTGGCATCTGAGGGTCGAAAACTTGTAGAATGTGTGCCCACCATCCTCTTTCTTAGAGATGTAGACTTTTTTGTTGATATTACGAATGGCCCTGGAGCAAATGACAAAAAAAAACCTCAAAGATGCAACGTATCAAAGGAGTCACTTCATCATGAAGAGTGGAGGAAGATGGCAGCAAAATTAAAAGACTGGAAATTTGTATGGAAAAAAGGGGCAAGAAAGGGAAAACAACACGTACCACCATCTATCTCCGGCTGGATAGAAGATATAAAAGCCTTTCAGAGGCTGTGGAGTACGGTAGAAAAGTTGGGATTCAAATATCTAAATTTGAGACAGTTAAACCAAGACTGTCTTGAAAATTTTTTTTCCACTATAAGACAAAATAATGGATGTAATAAGAATCCCACATGTCAGCAATTCCAGTCGGCTTGCAGGACAGCCATTGCTAATAAGCTCACTTCATCAGGATCTAGGCACAAAAACTGCCTTGATGATGAGGCATTTCTGTTACCAGAGACAGGAGAGCCAGAAGCTGAGCCAACTGTGGTGGATATTGAGCCGCCATCAGATCCCATTCTGGTAAGGGGGGAAGACAACAGTTTCCCTGAATACAAAATTATAGGCTGCAAGACCAAACGTCAAGCACCTGCTTATATTTGTGGTTACTTTGCAAGAAAAATTTTGAGAACGAAAGAGTGCAAAAATTGCAGACTGTGTGAAAATTACTTGACAACAGATGAGAAAAATAGTGACCATGTACTCACCTCAGCAAGAGAGTTCAAGAAGTATCGCAGATCAAACAATAACAAAAGAGAAGAATTTAGAGAAGCCCTTGCCATGTATAGCAATGATGATGGTTCCAAAGCTTTAAAGTATGCATCTCCACAGTTGGTCAAAACATTTTTAAACATTCAGGGACAATTTGTGCATGGGATAAACAAGCAAATACATCTGGACCCTTATAAATGGACCGAAGAAATCTGCAATCAAACCATTCAAAGTGAAGAATTATGTCCAATTCATGATCTCAAAAAACAATTAGTGACTACAATAGCAACATTTTTGATGAAGACTCACTGCTTGAGGATTAACCAACTGATAAGAGACAAGAGACGACAAAAAGCGTTCATCAACAGAAGGCGTCACCAAGAGAAACAGCAAAAAAAGGGGAAGAGGAACTGGTCAGTTAATGTATCAGTTGTTTCTGATAATGTTACTGCTGAGGAGTACATGGACAGTTCTGATTCTGATGATGACATGATAGATGATCCAGAAAGCATTGACAACCTACAAGGTGAGAAAAGTAACAAAATTATGGATCCAAGCAACAATTTTTTAAAACACACTTATATCTAATTTATTTTTATTACAGACCAGAGCAACTCACCTAACCCATCGGTTCAAGAGAGCAATAACAGTGTTGTTTCTTTGGACCAAATGAACATATCAGAACACAACAGAGTCATTATGGATATACCTCATCAAATCATACCAGAGAACAACGGTCTAATTGTTCTGGATACACTTCAACAAATTTCCATACCAGAGGACAACAATACTTTCGTTCTAACTGAAGAGTTCTCACTTCTAGGTAAGAACACACTGTAGCACGGTGTTAGGTGTAAAATCAACTTGTTGCTGCTGTTGTTTAAAACTAAAAGGGAAATAATTTTTTTTTGTTAAATATGTTATGACGACAACTTGGTTGGCAATCAATTTAAATCGAATTACCTTTTACAGATGAACTTGAATTGAACACTCCTGAAGAAAACATTTTCCTTGGAGCTCCAGTTACTGGTAAGATAATAAACTGCATCGAATGATCAGGGTGTGGCTTGGAGTAGCCTCAATGATTTCAATTATTGGCTTTTAGTTGCAGGGCCATCAACGATACCTGCTAATCCACCCAATGATCCACCACCATCTGCGCCAGATCCTAAAACCAATGAAAGGTTATCATATGAATTTGTCGAAAATTTGGTGAAGATGGGCCAGGTAAGAAGTCAACTTACTTAACCAATTCCTAATCCCATAGCATGCTGAACACATTTTAATTTCACATTTTCCTCTGTCCACAGGTCATGAACTTGAAAGTGCCCGAAATGAAACAGTTCTTAAAAGGAAAATACAAAAATTTGTCTACATTGAAGAAAGCTGAGCTCGCTCAGCTCATCATAAAACATATCAACCCTGGATAACTTAAAGGACAAGAGCTCTCCAATTCTCACACTTCTTCATATTTGTTTGCAGCTCGTTTGTTTGAAGCTAATAATAATAATGTCTTTCCAGACTTGATGACATTCAACTTCTGTGTTATTTTCTTCATTTTCCTTCGTATTCCGCTGATAAAAGCTTGCTTTAACCAATTTTTTGATAGAAACGTAAAGAAAATGACGCGTTAGCGATTTGTAACACACGCCATACTTCAGTACCAACGGACGAAAAACAAAATAACCACCAACCCACGCGCCACCCGAAAGCACCCTGTTTTCACTTTTCTAGGTTGGTAGCCATGGAGGTAGGATTCGAAATAGCGTGTCTCCCCTCCATCCCGTGAGATAGCGCTCTTGGTTGAGTTACTCTATGTTTTGGACCATGATGTTTTGACGTGGTTGCCGCTGACGTTCCCCCTCCCTCCCCCACTACCTTCCCCCACTCCCGTACCGCAACGTTACGCAGTGAAGATCCTAGGAAGATCGCTCGCACGCACCTCCACTGCACTTTTCGTCACCAGTCCGAGGGCTCACGTGCCAGCTGCTCGGGAGCTGCAGGGCCACAGCCATCATAGAGTGACAGATTCGCGTGGTGTGGGCATCGCTCTTAAGACGAGTGAAGCAGCCAGCAGTTCGTTTCACGTCGCTGGCGCAACATCAAAGGTGAGTACGAAATGGTGTTACGCTGGAACACTTTTGTCTGCTTTTAGACACCCCCCCCCGCATGGAACGTACACACAAAATCTATGTGTGTAGTCAGTACACACTTCTAAGTGTGTACTCAGTGAGTACACACTTGCGAGGTGCATGCGCGGCATAGTGAAACCGCATGCTTTTCTATGTGTGTACTCACTGAGTACACACTTATAAGTGTGTACTCATTCAAGTACACACTTGTAGGTGCGTGCTTAGGCAAGTACACACCTAGAAGTGCATGCTTGTAAGCACGCATCTAGAAGTGTGTACTGAGTACACACATAGATTTTGTGTGTACCCTGCGAGAAAAAAGTACGAAACATGTCTGGTTAATAATTTGCCTGGACCGTCCGTACTTGCCAACTACGGAACGTTCCGTACTTTTTTTCCGTACCCATTTACATGGGTTCATATGGAGCAAGTACGGAACGTTCCGTACTTTTCTCCGTACCTCCGTACTATATTTTTCTGTACCATTTCCGTACAAAAGTACGGAATTTTTTACAGTGTAGCGTTACGCTAGCTCGGACCGCCACATCCCGCTGAGCGTTACGTTACGCAAGAATCCTGATCTGAACGCCCCCTCCAATTTACTGTTTATTATTATTGTTGTTAAAATGCGTGTTGCAGATGGAGCTCAACTCTCTACCTGACGATGTGCTGCTCGAAGTACTGAGTTATCTGGATGAAGATGAACTGCTGGAGAGTCGCGCCGTCTGCCGCCGTTGGAGAGAGTTGGCGCTGCACCCATTGATTTGGCAGGACAAGTGTATTCATTTTTTGATGAGGTAAGTCTGCTGTTTACGACACATTACCTCTCTAGGCATGAGGTCACTGCCCTTTGGGGTGGTGGCCCTTGAAGCCGGCTTTTCACCCGTTTTGTTCACCGGTCAAGCATATTAGACGTATTTTTTTCTCGCGACATTTGTACTTACTCTGCAAACTGAAGTGTGTACATAGTACACTCTTATTAGAGCATGCTTCCAAGTACACACTTATTTACAGCATACTTGCTAGGCACACACTAAAATAGAGTGTACATTGCATGTACACGCTAAATAAGAGTGTACCTGGCAAGTACACTTAAACTGGCCCATGCTTAGATAGGACTTATCGAGTGTATTTTAGCGTGTGCATGGAAGGTACACACTTATTTCGCGTGTACTTGCCAGGTACACTCTTTTTTAGCGTGTGCCTAGCAAGTATGCTGTAAATAAGAGTGTACTATGTACACACTTCAGTTTGCGGAGTACTTAGAGTCGATGTTAAACCACAACAAACCTACAAAAAAATCAAGGCAATTTTCAATTGAGAAATGATTGTACCCTTAAAGTGCAGCAACTGTTCTACAAAGTAGATGGAACCGGCATGACGAGGGCAGTTCAGTCCAGGCCTCGTAGTAGTATGTACAATTCTCGTTCTACTTTTTACAATCCCGGTTGCACCTATTTTTAGTTTTCGTTGTAAGGGAGGGTGGGGCACCATGACCACTGGGGTACCATGACCACCCCTCTCGCTCTCGGGATCTACTTTGCCGACGGCAACCGGACTTTCGAGAGAATAGAATTCTAACTATTTTCAGCCAGAGTCCTATCTTTTAGCTTCAAGGGTACGACCATAGCACCTCGCCAAAATTTTTGTTACAGCGTTTTGGCTAAATTAGTCGTATTTCAAATCTGGGATATTGTTTCTCACTCTCACATTTGAGAAAATAAGTTCAAGTCCAAGGAATGCAATAAAATTTTTCAGTCGGTCGACCCTCTTTTTTCAAGATCCTGATGTGGACAATTTTTGGGAGCGGCCTTTGTTGGGACCAGATCTGGTCCTTCCTACGGCATGGACTGTACGAAAGAACGGTAACTTCTGTTAAAAAACTACGGAATATTTTGTAAAACAAGTACGGTAAATACTGCAGACTGTACGGTGGATACTGGTTTTTGAAGTACGGTAAAGTTTGGCAAAAAAATTATCCAGGATTTACGGTCATTTTTTCTCAGAGTGCTGTTCTGTTCTTCCCCGCCCTGACCCTACAATAATGTTTTACATTGCAGCACCGAGCTTATTGCCATCGCTTTCCGTCTCGTGCCACGTTTGCACAATCTTCGGATGAATCTTTCAATTCACGGCGATGCCTGCGACGTTCTTCTGGTCACACCGACTGCTATTTCCGAGGTCACTCTCGTGTTCGAAGCGAAGGACGCCCTGCTTGTTGCGCTGATACTTTCAAGGTACTCTAAATTGCTCGTACTTTTTTTTTGCGCACAGCTTTTGCACAGAACAGGCCTTGCGCGCGAAACACTCGAATTCGTGCTAAGTTGCGCACAAATTCGAGCATTCTAAGACGTATACCACTTTGAGGAAAGTTCATGCTCCCTACAGCAATTCAGAGTGTAGATGGACGACTTGGTGAAGTGACCCCATGACCTTGGGAGTGCTCCACTGTCACGATTTTCATTTATTTACTGTAGATGTGTTGGTTTAATTTTGCACATGACCGAACACAATTTCGTGCATGCAGATATTTTTTGCGCAAGTATGTACGCACAGTCACTCTAATTCGTGCGAAATTTCGACCAAACTTGGAGGCAAGAAGCTCTCAATTGCGTGAAGCTTGGTGAGGCTGCATGCTAAAATTGTTGCAATGTTGTAAGTGTGTTAATCATGTTCGCAGGCAAGCCTCTCTTGGACGGTTGAAGAAGGTATCGTTGAGCGTGACAGATGACATCATCAGGACATCGCACCGAGGACTCCGTGCACTTCTCCTGCAGATATGCCAAGCTCCCGGTGAGTACACCACTAAATTACTATGTAGTTTCTTCGTGCATAGCTTTGCGCAAAATGAAGCTTGCGCGTAAAATGTACGAATTTGTGCGCAAGAACGCACATGGTGCTGCATAACAGTGCTTATTTCCATGCTTAGCTCTGCACGAAATCCTCGTCTTCAAAATGCCTGCTGAATTCTGCGCAAAGCTATGCACAAATTAACTACACAATACTTGCAGGTCGTAGGTTCTTGATTCGCCTTTATAGTTTTCAGTTCATTATTGCAGTTGTTAACAAGTTAACACTGAACTAACTGAAGCGTAGTCGCAATTTAGGTTTTACCAGAGTTTTTCCATGAACCTGACTGTGTATACGACTGTTTAAGAATGGATGTACAGAAACAATCAGATGGGTGAAAATTTAGACGTTCCAAAACATAGTATGTCATTATGACTCAAAGCTGAATTAATGTCGTTGGATCTGGAAAGGAACAATTTGTCGTAGAAGCACAATATACTTGTCACTCCAAATGACAATATATTCGCTATTATCTGCTCCGTTAGAATAAATGGTGAATATTATTGGAATCCTCATATATTTCGTTCCTCTAAGTCATAGGGAGAGACAACTATGATTAGAAGTAGAACCATGACAAATATAGTTAGGGACAGAAGCACGACAAATATTGATATCAATATTTGTCGTAGACATTACAAAACCGTTTTTGACTGACACTACTTGTCACTGACTACCTATATTTGTCGTAGGTCAACGACTTGTTTTTTGATAGGTGGACTGTTAACATGCTATTACATGTTTGTTGTTGTTAAATTATCCTTAAGTTGCAATGTCGCTAAGTTCCGACAAAACTTTTTATCAGCGTGAACCAATTCCAGCCGTTGATGGTTTCCTTTATGTTTCAGGAAGCAGAGTTATATTATGTAGTATTGTGCCAGGAAATAAATTTTCATCCCCCTTTGCGTTGTTTCTTTTGTGCAGTATTGCAATCAATGAGCTTGAAGTTGAACGTGGACGATGAGGATGTTTTGGATGTCATCGAAGCGAAGGTGCCTGTGCCAGCGTCTCTGAAACAACTTATTTGCCGGGCACGCTTGGAACCTTACCTGGAGCTGCTTATGGAATGGCATGCGAATACACTGGAAGTAAGTTTTTTTTTTTTGCTCCTGATTCCGATTCTATCTTTTCGACGGACGCAGAGCCTAAACTGGTCTTGATTTACTGCCGCTCCTTGCTGCAGGACGTGAGCCTCTCGTCCGACGGCCCGCGATTGACGTCGCTGCTCGCCGCCATGCCGCGCCTGCGCAAGCTGTCCTGCCCCATGCTGACGGACATGCAGTTGCTTCGGCAGTGCCGGTCCTTGACGTACCTGAAGCTCAACCTCAACCTCTCTTCGACGACGCGGAGGCGGTGGAGGCTGGCCTGCCGGGGGCGCGGCTCTTGCTGCGCTCGGCGGCCGCGCGCCTGGAGCACCTCAAGATCACCTACGCGCCGTACTCGTCCCCGGACGTCGTGGACCTGCTGCTCAGCATCGGCAGGCGGTCCGGCGTGACCGCGCTGCGCATCCTTAGGTTCATGATCATGCAGTGGGACCCGGAGATCCGTGACAGCGAGTCCTTCGACGAGGACGAGTCCGAGAGCCCTCCGCCGCAGCTGGTGCCTCTGGCCGCCATCCTGCCGAGGCTGCCGCTTCTCACCAGGCTGGACATCGACAGCGAGGCCTCGGACGCCTTCCTGGACGCGCTGGACGGACAGGTCAGTGGGCCGGAAGAACGGTGGAGGCGGCCAAAACTTGAGCTCCAGAGACGCTTAACATGGCTCGAACCGAACGTGTGACCCCACGTGTGACCCCTCTAATGGATTCCTCGTTCGGAGAGCAATCCGCTGATGGGGTCACACGTTCGGTTCGAGCCCATTCAGCTGTTCTGGAGCTAAAAATGCGTTAGGGATCTTGACCGCCTCCAATACACTGAGAATAAAAGAGTCACCACCTTCGCCCTTTCATTGAGTGACCTACGCATCGTCGCTGAAATTTGGGTGACGGGCCAGCGGTGACAATTTTGGGTAGTCATAAAATTATCGCCCAAATTTGGGTAACGTCGTCGGTCACGCCGTGAGGTCCCCGATGACGTCCTTCCGGGGCCACCACGGTGACTCCTTCACTTCCTCCTCCGCCTGCACGGCTACCTCGTGGTACGTCCTCGTATCTCAGAAAGTACTGGGCCTAGAACGAAACTGACTTCGGCGTTGGGCGCCGTGAGACCCAGAGGCCTCAACGCCACATGGCGGGCATCATGGTGGCCCCGGAAGGACGTAATCGGGGCCCTCGCGGGACCCAAATTTGGGCCCAAGGTCGCCGGCGATCGCCCTAACGCCGGATACCAAATTTCGGGTGATGATTTTTTTTCGTCACTCATAATTGGGCTGCATCACCCATTTGAAGGGTGGTGGTGTTATGGCCAATGCGTTCTCAGTGAGCGGTCCTCTGGCCCACTGTGCAGGTGGTGCCCCAACTGGAGCGGCTGGACATCCGCATGCCACGCGACTGCGCCTGCCACCACTCCTGGCTCCACGTCGAGGAAGAGCGGATGCGGCGAGTCATGAAGAGGTACCCGCGCCTGCACGTCTTCATCCATACAATCGACATGAACACCTGCAGGGAACGGGAAGGGGACTGCAGCTTCTGCAAGTCCCACTCCTGCCATGCCGACCTGCTAGACGACGTGCCCGTGCCCTGCCTGCTACGCAGCCACAGGGGTACTCGCTGCAATGTGAGTCACGTGGCCGACAAATATTTTCCGGACTTGTCTGGCTTTGAAATTTACATCGACACTAGTAGTGTATAACGTTGACAGCTGTTTTCCCATTACCAATTTTCTCATTGTATAGTCACGTTAAAATCTTAAAGGTAATCGTCACAGTTTAGGGTCTGTGACAAGCTGATTATTGCAGATCTCATTAATTGTTTTAACTTAATTATGAAAATTTTGTTACATAGCGTTGAAAATTTAATTTATGTTGTCAAGAGAATTATATTTTTCCGGCTGTTTGAGAAAACGGTAATGTTTTTTTGTCACCACATAGTTCTAAATTTTCATTTAAATCCTCCTTACAGTGAACAAAATTTGCTGTGCACCAGGACTTCAGCGTGACATATGCAACATGCTTCCCCAAAAGTTTCGCCAAACTGTCACCAGAGTTGTGGCAAAGTTGTGTGCTGACGTGGAAGCAATCGGGGGAAAGGGGACGGAAGTCGGCGCAAAACGGGAAGCCGCCCTTTGGCCGCGACATTTATAGTTGAAGCGTGAAAAGAACGCAGGGTCGGCACCACAGCAGTATACTGTTGTGGTTGGACTATTTAGAGCCCAGCCTTGCCAAGCCTTGTTCGTTACTAAGTCCGCGCTTTCGGCCTCAGGGAAATAGGTGCACCCGTAGTCCAGTGAGTGAGCACACTGTCAACACTGTCAACACGCCTCCCGATAACGATGCCGTGTTAGCGTGTCTCTCGAGACCTCCTCCTCACCGGTCGGCTGATGGTCTGCGATCGAACTCTCGGAATCTATGACGAGACACCCGCCCTCTGAGCGCCGAAGGGGAATGAGGGCTGCGCATTTTATTCTCTCGTTCAGAAACCCGCACCAACATAGTGCATGTGAAACGGGCATCGGGTGCTACAAATTTCATCGCACTGCGCAGTGGGCAAGGTGGAGCCGGACGGAATCCCGGTCGCGTTTGAAGCTCCAGAGTCGCTAACTTGGGCTCGAACCGAACGAGTGACCCCACCAATGGATTGCTCTCCGAACGAGGAATCCATTCGGTGGGGCCACACGCTCGGTTCCCGTCCTGTGTAGCAACTCTGGAGCTCAAAACCCGTCCGGGATTTTGATCGGATTTCTATCTTGAATTGTGACTACTCCAATATCATTGATTGCACACTAATTTGATGCTTCTCACCGGAGTTGCAAAGCAGATTATACGAATTCATGTGACAAGATTCGACAAGAATTTAGACTGTTGCAAAACACAACAATGGTCCGTCGACATCAAGAAGCAGTTGGCAACATAACTTTTCTAGACAATCAAAATTTTTAAGTAAACGTGATACGGCTGACATAATCACGATATCACATTAGTTTTAATGTAGATCAAAATTTGAACGAATATGACATGGTCTTATGAATACATAATGACGTCACAGTCGCTGTATAACAGTGTGCACCCAACACGCATGATGCCTCGGTTCGCTCGGTTTCACCTATTGGATTTCTCTGGCGCTCAAAACCGGTCCGGGATTTTGATCATCCGCCGCAGCTGGTCTTCTGGCCCACTGTGCGCTGTAGGACAGCCTGACAGTGTATCTGGCTGCTAAAAACCAATGTATGTAGAATATTTTGCCGTTTAGCTTGATGCACACACCGACACACTCAAGCCAGAAGACCGGCGCGGGGCCGGCAGCCAAAACTCTAGACGCGTTTAGGGCTACAGAGTCGCTGAACAGGACTCGAACCGGGCGTGTGACCCCACCAATGGATTCCTCGTTGGGAGAGCAATCCATTGGTGGGGTGAGGTCACACGCTCGGTCCGAGTCCCAATTAGCGACTCTAAAGTTCTAAAGGCGTCCGGGTTTTCGACCACCTCCACCGCAACGGTCTTCTGGCCCACTGAACGCCACTGAATCGCCAGTTGAGCAGGTGCTGCCGGACGCAAACAATGTTCCGATGCCTGTCCGTGGCGCTGGCCTTCTGGGCTGCCGTGGGGGTGCCGTTCCCGTTCGGGAAGACAAGTCGCTGGTAAGAACCACTGTAAAAAATTCCGTACTTTTGTACGGAAATGGTACTGAAAAATATAGTACGGAGGTACGGAGAAAAGTACGGAACGTTCCGTACTTGCTCCATATGAACCCATGTAAATGGGTACGGAAAAAGAGTACGGAACGTTCCGTAGTTGGCAAGTACGGACGGTCCAGGCAAATTATTGACCATACATTTTCCGTACTTTTTTTGGCCCGCCCTTCTATTCAAAAAATAGGGGGAGGGCCTATGCATTTGCCTTTGTGTCTGTTGTTGTTGTTGTTGTTGTAGTTGTTTTTTGTTGTTGTTGGCGTCTGTGTACAAGGAAGGAGTTGAGCTAGAGTAACCAGATTTGGAGGGTACTTCAGGAGTACCGTCCAAACAAATAATCCGGTGGTGCAAATCCCGTCCGGGTCGCACAAGGGCTGGTGCAGGTGCATCATGGTTTACATGAGCGGGAGGGGGATTTCCGCCATTATTGGTGCTAGCAGGGCTTATAGGGGTATTTTTGGAATCAGGGCGACGAGACAAGATGAATGGACCTGGTCCCGACCCCATCGGCCGCTTTCCCAGTTGCCAGATCAGGATCTTCAAAAAAGGGGTCGACCGACTAAAAAACTTATTGCAGATTTCGATCGGTCTCAGCAAGCCCTTTTTCAACGAGGAGTCGGAGAGGGGGTCCAGGAGCCCGACTTTGTCTATTAGTCACATCAGGATCTTAAAAAAAGGGGGGTCGACCGACTGAAAATTTTTACTTAAGTTTTCGATAGGTCTTGGCAAGACCTCTTCAACGAGGGGTCGGAAGGGGGGTCCAGGAGCCCGCCTTAGTGAGTTATGGGAAAAAGTGCGACGGACTCGTTTTGCGCTCCTGCTGTGCCTCTATTGCAAGGAGTTGCAGTAGCATGGCAATAGGGGTTTTTCCCGGAAATAAGGGTTAAGAGACAAATGAAATGGACATATTCTAAGGACAGTTGGAGTAAAAAGTGTAAGGACTTTTGCATATTGGGAAAAGAAGGGCGGGCCTAAGTCACGATGGTACATCGATAACTTTGCTTTACCCGCTCACGGGGGGTGTGATGCGAGCGGGGCCCAAGGCCCGGGCCTTCGACTGGCCAAGTTGGTCTGATGCGAGGGCCGAAGGCCCGAGAAAAAGGGCCCCCGGCAGGCCAAGCTGGGGCCGGCCCCCCGTCGAACCGAGTTGCCGGGGCAGCGAAGCGGAGCTGGCAACTCGGTTCGACGGAAGGGGGGGCCCTAGCTTGTTCTCACAGTGACGCTCGCTTCGCTCTAAAAGTTTTACAATGAAATTATGGCCACGTTCCAGTGAATATGGCGCAAGCATAAGACGAATCAATATTTTTTCGTACAACGCGAATCTTTTCAGTATTCACTGTGTAAATACGAAGAAACACTACCCACTATAAATTACTATGTAGGTTTTTCTGCGCGTCAATACACGAAATTAAACATGCACTTCGTAACGTACAAATTTGTGCGCAACAATGCACGATTTTCTGCACACTAGCGCACGAAATCGAGCATTGTCGAATTCGTGCGTTACGAAGTGCATGTTTAATTTCGTCCATTGGGGCGCAGAAAAACCTACATAGTAATTTAGTATGTGCCTTTCGTAATTCGTATTATGGATGCGCCATTTCCCTCGTAATGTGTCAGGCAGAAACTGAGTGACCCCAGTTCAAAATTAGGGTAGAGTGCCGAACATGGATCGGGATACCAAACATGGATCATTTCTGTTTTGGGGGTCTATAACTAAAGACCAGTTGACCAGATTCTAAATTTCTGTCTTTCCTTGCTCAGACTGACCCTTTGACTGTTCGATGTGAATCTGAAAAGTTTGTAACTGCGCCCTCTACTCTGCAGGGTTGCGTTTAGAAAGACCCCTAAAACAGGCCCCCGAAAATCGAGGGAAAAATGACGTTAAAAAAGGTGATTTTGCACCCCTGATTCGGGGCCAAGCAATCACCGCAGTCACTTCAAATTTTTCATCGTGCACTTTGGACAGACTACTTTGAATTTTGGGACTACTGAATGAAACCTTGCTTTGTGTCCGTACGCTGGTGGGGTGATCCATGTTTGGGACCACCCTAACCTAACCTTAGCAAAAATAGCCATATTTTCTTGTCCGCACAACTTCCAAAGTATTCGAGTTAGAGGTACCTTTTTTGGAGCCATAGACCAGTAAGGTAAACATCAATATTAGATTTAAAAAAGTAGTCAACCCATATTTAAATTTCGATCTAGAAAGATTATTTAAAAAGTGATCCATGTTTGGTACCTTACCCTACCCCAACGATTATAAAGAAAGATGTGGTGCGTGTTTGCTGACTGTTTCTGAGGTGCCCACATGAAAGCGAAATGTTCCGAAACCTGGTCGAAATCGGTCCGAATCAGTCCGAACACCCTCGGACTGTTCCATAGAGCGCCCGAGCCGGGTCGGACTGTCCGCCACGAGCCCGCGTCGGGACTGGACTGCCCGATGGATGCCCGATCAGATGATGCTTCCATCGGACTGCCCCGTACGGAGCCCGTAGACCCTAGTCCCGAAAGCGACTTGTCCGGCAGACCGATCGGCGCGAGCCGAGTGTGGCGGACTGTCCCTGCCGGTGCAGGCGCGGAAAAGCCCGCTGGCCCGGGCCGGTCGGAGGCGCTCTCTGATTTGGGTTTGGCCAGGAGGGGAGCCTTAATCCTTCGGCAACTCGGAAAGTTTTGGGCCCCCTCGGCACGCAAAACGTCAGTCTCCAGCTGCCCTCCAAGGTGCACGCATCGCGTTTG